CAGGCAATCCACTCACCTCAGCCTCCCAAAGGCGCGGGATTACAGGCTGAGCCACCAAGCCCAGCTCTGCCTCATCTTCTAAACTCATTTGACACAGACCCACAGCTTGCCTTAGACACTGCCTGTGTCACGGGCCACTAGTGCTTGTGGGGACTTATGCAGTCCCTGAGGCCTGGGCTGTGCCTTTTACTTGCACCTTCTGAGGGTTGGCCCAGGGGCTGTATCTGGTATGTCCAGCAGGGGGCGATGCTCCCTCATATATGCCACGTGTTCTCATTGGCAGGGTTGGGCTGGGAAGTGTTTTGCTTTTTTTTACTTTCCACCAACTTCCATCCAGAAAGTCACCCCTCACTCCACCCCCAGGCTGGGATAGGCCATGAAGCTGCCAGTGGGGATGCCAGCCAGGCCACAGAGGGGAGGGAGGAGAGTCTCATGGTACTCTGAGACTGGGCTCTGCACTCTTGGGGCAGTGCTGCCTGAGACCAGCCACCCCCTATGTGCCCAGAACCCTTGATAGGAGCCGGCCAGCTAGAGCCCTGAGGGCAGGAGGCCTGGGGGGGAGGGGCTTGCAGCCTCTGCCACCACCCCCTGGGGAGGGAAGGAGCTGGTAGTTCCCTTTTCCCATAGCCCCAGAGCAAATGAGTTTCCGGACTGGGGGAAGGAGGTCGGGGAGTCCTATCCCAGGAAACAGATGGGCAGCCTCAGAGTGGAGGGAAATGGCAACGCCACCACTTCCTCCCGTCCCACGCAGCCATATCAATGGGGGGTGAGGAAAGGGTTGCATGGAGCAGGGTGGCTCCCAGCCCACCCTAACCTTTTAGTACTGGCCCCTTTGGTGAGGATAGGCCTTGTCTGGAACCCCACTTGGTTTTCCCTCTCTGGCTGGAGTTGAAGCCAAAATGAGGCAGCCAGAGGGTACCAAACTGGGAGGGGGCTCCCCGACTCAGTCCACTGGAGCCTGCCTGTCACACTTGAAATAGGGGTGAGTCCTGCTCCCATCCCCCCGCTTCCTGTCAGGCTCCCTGAAATGGTGGTTGTGGGAGAGGACTAGATGCCTTTTTACATTCTTTCTCTCTTTTTTTTTTTTAGAGACAGGGTCTCTCTCTGTTGCCCAGTCTGCAGTGCAGTGACACAATCATAGTCCACTGTAGCCTCGAGGCGCGGAGCTGGCATTCAACAGTGTGTGTCCTAGATGTCACCCTCTCCCCTTGCTTCTTGTCCTGTGGGCCAGCCACGTGGTGTGGGCGCCCCCACGTGGGAAGAGCCACGGAAGCCACAGTCCACCTGCTCTCGTGAGGGCCTCACCCCTTCACCCTGCAGGTTGACAGCTCCCACGCCAGGCCATATTTGGTGGGGTCCTTGGGAGGTGTGTGATCACTGGATTGCCTTGCGCTGGCCCAGGTGCTGGCTGTTCATCATTTCTCTTTGGGCCACCTGCAGGGACAGTCTTTGTCCCTGGAGCAGTCCCTTTCAGCTCTTTATCTGCCAAGCCTAGTCATGGGTTTATGTGCTCAAGGTGCTCCGGGACTCCCTCAGGTGCACCCAGATTTTGCCTAGCAAATAAGCAGCTGGGGTGGGGGCTGGGGAGCTAGGTGATCCCACAGAGTGGGCCAAGTACTGTCACTGACTCACCTGTAACCCAGACATCCCAGGAGAGCCATTCCCTGAAGGCGGCCAAACCAGGGAATCTGGGGAGCATGGAGTGCAGTGGCTTTGGCCACAAGCCCCACACCAGCCATCAGGAGAGTAGCCACCAGCAAAGAAGTCCCGGGCCTTTATGTGTGGTCGGGAGGGGGGAAGCGGGGGATGGGGGGGAACAGCCACACTCCTGACAGGCAGCTAAGCATTGAGGATTTCTACTGTAGAAGTTTTTTTGGCTTTGGTTTTCTTATTTGTGCAGTGAAGGAGGGGCAGGTACTGATTCATCCATCCAGAACCTCTTCCTGCTTTGGTGTTAGAAGATTCCATGGATTGCCAGAGCCCACGGGTTCAAGACCCGCCTGGGCAACTTGGCGAGACCTCATCTCTACAATAAATCAAAAATGAGCC